GAATGGTTAGATGGGATGGAACTTGTGGATCTTTGGAATGGTTAGATAGGATGGAACTTGTGGATCTTTGGAATGGTTAGATGGGATGGAACTTGTGGATCTTTGGAATGGTTAGATAGAATGGAACTTGTGGATCTTTGTAATGGTTAGATGGGATGGAACTTGTGGATCTTTGGAATGGTTAGATAGGATGGAACTTGTGGATCTTTGGAATGGTTAGAATATGGGATGGAACTTGTGGATCTTTGGAATGATTAGATAGGATGGAACTTGTGGATTAAAGTTATTATCTGCACTTATTTCTTGTGCTAAGACATCTTTTAAGTTCTCATACATGTTGCATTTTAATTTAGTTAAATAGGCATACGCATGACAAAAGATTTTGTAAATTTCAAATGAGTCACTTTTTGTAGGTTAAATCTACAAACTTAAAAACCTGAGATATAATACTAGTACATATGTTTACAATTGGAAGACTATCATCCACTCCCAAAATAACATATGTTTATATACTGAAGGTCATCCAATCTCAAAATAACATATGCTTACATTTTGAAGAAGGTCATCCACTCTCACAATAATTTATGCTTACATTTTGAAGAAGGGCATCCACAATTAATTCATGGCCTGCACTGGCTCCAATCATCAGAGGTGTAAAGTTTTCTGTTTTCTCACTAGGGTAAAAAATAGAAAAATCACAATCCAATACATTCCCTGACTCACATAAACAATAAATGACCAAACGTATCTGTAAATAAACTACCTGTAACATATAAACAGCAGATGCTAAAAGAAAGATGAAGACCTACCAGATGTTTAACTGTGCTCCATTTTCTATAAGAAGATGAACAAAGTTGAGATGTCCCAAACATGCAGCATGAAACAAAGCCGTCCAATCCTGACTGTCTCTGTCTTCTGTAGAAGCCCCATGCTTTCATTAAACACAAACATAAATGAAATCAAGAGACCTCAACTTACATTTAAGCTTCATTTAATATAAAATCAAAATACATGTTCTATTTACTCTATAAACTTTAATCCCTCCAAGTTAATTACATTGAAAATAATACTTGAAAAGTAACTGTTGGAAACTAAAAAACATCAAGATTGAAAAGCAACTTCTGTTTGTTTGTCTGTCTGTGTTTATAATGAAAACTTTCAAACTTCACAGCTAAAACTTCATGATGAAACTTTCAGAGGTATGTCTAAGAGGGATTATAAAACCCTTTACTTTATTCAGTTTTTCCTCTTACTACTGCTGGTAAATGATGCACACACACACACACACGCATACATTCCATCCAACCATTCTCATGAGGCCATCAAAATAAATGCCACACCTAGCACAAGTATCTTTACTAGTTTTAATACAGGCACTGAAAGTGGGAAAGAAAGGTACTCACAGCGTTAGGCTATTTAAAATTTGTTGCTGTGTCTAATTAAACTGTACTACAAAATTCAACACATACCCAAACACATTTAAAAATCTACCATTTCACACTATAAAAAATTTCCCTATGTCATTTAGATGTTATAATTGAGAAGAAACATGATCAAAGAGCTACATCCATTAATAATGACTAATTCTGTTAATTTGAACTCTTGTCAGGTAATTCTACCTGAGTAGCTAAACTTCAGTTCACCAATGTTACTGTGTGAAACGAAAAGAACTAGAATAATGTTCATATGAAATATAATAAAATACTTAAAACCAAACCTTTTAGTCTTGTACTACTTTGTACTAACTTATATTAACGAATCAGAGGTTATATAGTATGCAAATGGTTCTATGACAGGTTTAAAAATTCTTCATATACAGACACTAACTGTCAAAAAAAAGTTATCTAACTACGAATAGTTTATCACCTGGTTATCTAACTACGAATAGTTTATCATTTGGTTATCTAACTATGAATAGTTTATCACCTGGTTATCCAACTACGGATAGTTTATCATTATCTAACTAGGAATAGTTTATCATTTGGTTATCTAACTACGAATAGTTTATCATTATCTAACTAGGAATAGTTTATCATTTGGTTATCTAACTACGAATAGTTTATCATTTGGTTATCTAACTAAGAATAGTTTATCATTTGGTTATCTAACTACGAATAGTTTATCACCTGGTTATCTAACTACGGATAGTTTATCATTATCTAACTAGGAATAGTTTATCATTTGGTTATCTAACTATGAATAGTTTATCACTTGGTTATCTACCTATGAATAGTTTATCACCTGGTTATCTAACTACGGATAGTTTATCATTATCTAACTAGGATAGTTTATCATTTGGTTATCTAACTATGAATAGTTTATCACCTGGTTATCTAACTACGGATAGTTTATCACCTGGTTATCTAACAACAAATAGTTTATCATTTAGTTATCTAACTACGGATAGTTTATCATTTGGTTATCTAACTACGGATAGTTTATCATTTGGTTATCTAACTACGGATAGTTTATCATTTGGTTATCTAACTACGGATAGTTTATCACTTGGTTATCTAACTACAAATGGTTTATCATTTGGTTATCTAACTACGAATAGTTTATCATTTGGTTATCTAACTACGAATATAATTCAGCCAACCTCCTGCATTAAAGGAAATGGGAAAATATAGCTTTAAAAATTCGACTATTCAACAACTTTGATAGTTAAAATGTTATGTAAAATCTTATAAATGTTCCCCCAAAAATGTCAATCAAGCAACTATAGATACAATGATTGCTGTTTCTAGTCGTTAGTATTATATAAACATCTAACACACAAGAAAAGAGAACGTCCATAAATACCTGTAATAATGTTTTTCCACATTGAACATTATCACACATAGCAGACAACATTAGAGCTGTGTGTCCCGAAAAGTTTTTTTTACGTGGGTTAGTTTTTGACATCAACAACAGCTTGAGTACTGGTTCATGGCCCCAATAAGCAGCATACATCAACGATGTCCAACCACCTCTGTTTTTTTTGTCTACATCAGCAGAATTCTGGAAACTTAAAAAGTAATCTACTCTTAGTATTTTAATCTCAAAATTCATTAAATGTTTTCTGTTTCCAGTTTTATCTGTAGAATTCAGCTTGCCAACACTAATTTAAAGATATTCAATGTTTCTTTTAGTATAAAAACTTTGATAAAAATGTACTTCATTCATCTGATGTCAGCTAAAAGTTATAGTGAAAATAATTAGATAGTAGTTACAGCATTCTAGCCATGTAATAATTAGATAGTAGTTACAGCATTCTAGCCATGTAATAATTAGATAGTAGTTACAGCATTCTAGTAATGTAATAATTAGATAGTAGTTACAGCATTCTAGCCATGTAATAATAGATAATAGTTACAGCATTCTAGCCATGTAATAATAGATAATAGTTACAGCATTCTAGCCATGTAATAATAGATAATAGTTACAGCATTCTAGCCATGTAATAATTAGATAGTAGTTACAGCATTCTAGTCATGTAATAATTAGATAGTAGTTACAGCATTCTAGTCATGTAATAATTAGATAGTAGTTACAGCATTCCAGCCATGTAATAATTAGATAGTAGTTACAGCATTCTAGTAATGTAATAATTAAATAATAGTTACAGCATTCTAGTCATGTAATAATTAGATAATAGTTACAGCAATCTAGCCATGTGATAATTAGATAATAGTTACAGCATTCTAGCCATGTAATAATTAGATAGTAGCTACAGCATTCTAGCCATGTAATAATTAGATAGTAGCTACAGCATTCTAGCCATGTAATAATTAGATAATAGTTACAGCATTCTAGCCATGTAATAATTAGATAGTTACAGCATTCTAGTCATGTAATAATTAGATAATAGTTACAGCAATCTAGCCATGTGATAATTAGATAGTAGTTACAGCATTCTAGTCATGTAATAATTAGATAGTTACAGCATTCTAGTCATGTAATAATTAGATAATAGTTACAGCATTCTAGTCATGTAATAATTAAATAGTAGTTACAGCATTCTAGCCATGTAATAAGTAGATAATAGTTACAGCAATCTAGCCATGTGATAATTAGATAGTAGTTACAGCATTCTAGCCATGTAATAATTAGATAGTTACAGCATTCTAGTCATGTAATAATTAGATAATAGTTACAGCATTCTAGCCATGTAATAATTAGATAGTTACAGCATTCTAGTCATGTAATAATTAGATAATAGTTAGAGCATTCTAGCCATGTAATAATTAGATAGTTACAGCATTCTAGTCATGTAATAATTAGATAATAGTTAGAGC